TTTTTTTTTTTTTTTTTTAAATTTGAACAGATATTATGAAAAATTTTCAGATCTATAAAACAGCAGCACTCAATGACAGCAACTTCCTTAGAATGCAAACGGTATTATGCTATCACCAAAAAAATACCAAAAGGTGCCGCAAAATTAATTTCATAATTTCTTCATCTAGAAAACTATTATCCGATTTTTTTTTTTTAGCAGTTATGTAACAAAAAAAAAAAGAATGAAATAGACAAACCAAAAACAGATGACACATTTTACCAAAAAAAAAATTGTTTTATAGATGTTAAACGGTACTGTGGTATGTGTCGTCAACATAATTTAGTCTTGGAAACTCGTGGACACAATTGTCCATACAAAAATTGTAGCTGTTCTCAGGTTGGTTTAATCTTCAGTTGATTTTTTTTTGTTTCAGTTGAAAAACAAAATAAAATAGAAAAGTTTTAATTAATTATTTATTTATTTATAATCTATACTCTTTTTTTTTTTTTTTCAAGTGTTCACTGGTAAAACAACGACGAAAAATTATGCGAACACAAATTCGACTACGACGAGCACAAGAGAAACGATTTCAACGAACCATGGAACCACAAGAAGCTAATTTAATACCAGAAAATGAACCAAATCCTATTAACAATAACAGTTACACTGTAAGTATTAACAGATTTTGCCAAAATTGAACAGTTCAGTGTTACCTTTCAGTGTATCATTTATTTGAGCTGTCAGTATTTTTTTGATGGTAAAACTGTTGTTGATTTATTTTTATTCTAACCTTTTTTGAAATAAAAATTCTGTATACAAAACTTGAATACTTTCAGAATTCCAATAAAGAAATACTTCTTACGGCTAAAAATATGTGTTATTTTTGTCAAAAATGTAAAAATCATGGCGTGTTAATGTGGAAGAAAGTTAGTTTGTGTTAATTTTTTTTTGGTTTTTTTTCTCACTTGTTTTTTATCTTCTTTCAACTTGTATTTATAATTTGAGAAGATTAACAGATAAAAGAATGAAACAAGGCTGTTTAGGATCATAAACGACTATGCAGATATTTGAACTGTGACTGTGAGCAGTGTGTTTTAATTGAAACACGACGTCAATTAGACCAAAACCTTAAAAAATCCAAAAACAAGACTTCTAGATGTATCAAAAAAGGAGTCATTGAATATGGTGCTAAATTTTCCTTCTTGCTTTTGATATTGATCTGTAGTTGATTACAACACATTCGCTACTGTATAAAACTAAATAAAGTGGCAACTGGAGAGTTCTGATTGATACTGAACGACATCTGTAACTGTGAGACTTTGCAGCATTTCCGAGTGAAAAAAGGGAATTGCCAAGCAGTGATGCAAATCAGTTTTCTGCAACAACAGAAAACCGATGCGGTAAACAAACTGAAAGCAACACCGGTCGGTTTGTAGATTCAACTTTGTCACGACTACAATCGACAAATTCGTCTAATTTGGTTAGTTTATGTCTAGTGTTTGACGGTAATGCTGTATATAAGTTTTAGTAGAGTGTATGTAATCAAATATCATTGATAAAAAAAAAAAAAAACGAGTAACCTAAAAAATACCATCTTTCTTTTTTTCAGGAACGATTATCAAGTGATCGTTTACAGAGTAATCCACTTATTACCGCTGGATCAATGTTTCCAAAAAGCACCTATTTAGCTATGCCAACAGATTTGAATTCAATAGTAGCGCTACAGATGACTGCACCTGGTGGAATGTTTTTGTTGCCTGCAGATACCATAAATAATTACACCAATTCCTTAACACTTCTACAGCAACCTCAGTACACTATTGGCACTGTGGGTACACTGTTAACAAAATCTTCTCCAACAGTCATCTTTTAAAAGAAGTTTTATTTTTTTCAACAATCCTATAAATACAAATCTCTCTTGCCAAATTTCTTTACTCGTTACTTTTGAAAAATCGCATCAAAAAAGGAAGTTTGCAGGAATATAGTTGAGAAAATACGTATTCAAATATATGCTGGTATAATTTTAAAGCAGTTTTTTCCTTTGTTCAAAAGTACAGTTTTATTGCATTTGCTTCTTTATTGGAATAAAAAGACGAGAGGAAAGGTGAAGAACAAAGGAAGAAGTGAAAAGACAAGTAGAAGAAGGAGAAAGAGGAAAAAGAAGAGGAAGACATAAGAGAATGAGATTGAAGTGTTGGTATTAGTGAGGTGTTTCTACTGCAAAGTGCACCATAGTTTTTCAAGTACAAACTCGCAAAGAGAAATGTAACCTTACAACCAGAAATCCAAATAAAAGTTTTTTTCCAACGTTTTCTGTTTTTTTTTTTTTTTACTACTCAAACCGTTCAGAGTTAAAAAAAAATTTTTTTCGCAGAAGATTTTGTCTTTTATTATAGCAAAACTTATAGATTTTACCATTTTTGAGGTTGGTATAATTTACTGCTTTTTGATCATTCCTTACTTAGAAGTATGTTGGGGCTGTCATTCAACAGCTTATCGCTGATTACTATCTCACTTGTTAGATATAAATAGATAACTGTGTATGTGCAAGCTTTTTTGTTTCTTCTTTATGGAAGAAAGTACTTTGTTGCCGTCTTTTCCATTTGTTTTTTTCTTATGCACTTGTTGTATGAAAGTTCATTTTCAGAAGCTTTTTTCAGTTTCAGTTGACGTTTTTTGTTTGAAAAATAGTCTACAAATTCCAGACAGTTGTTTAAAAATGACCAAAAAAAACAAGGAAAAACAGCAATTTTTTAAATTTCTTTTTACTACTAGTAGTAAAGTAGCGATCAAATTTTATGGTATCATTCATTGATCTTTTGTCCTTCAAGATGGGTCCATCGTTATCACAGCTAGTGTCATTAAAACTGGCAACATTCTTGAGATACTTCCACGGTACGACCTCTTACCCAAGTCTAAAAATAAAAAAAATTTAAGCTTGACAGATCAAAGCATATAAAAGCAAAACTATTTTTTTTTCTTTGTATTTTCTGTGCAGATAATAAAAATTGAAGAAAAAAAAGCATAAGAAATTACTTATAAAGACAGAATTTTTTGTGCTCTTTTTTTTCTTTTGACATTTCGCCCAGCAAAATGTCTGCTACTTTTGATAAATATTGTCGGAGGTACTGTAGAAAAAATTGTGAAAGGTTTAAAAAAGAAAAACTTAAAACAAAAGAAGTGGCCACAATAAATCACTCCCCGGAAGAGCGAATAAAAATAGAAAATGAGTGGAGTCGAATTATTTATAAAGTAAAAATAAGTTTTCTTTGATTATTTATCTCTCTGACGAAATAATGTAAGAAGAGTGTTGCAGTAGACAAAAAATATCAACGAAACTAAATAGCGGTTCAATCATTTAACTTTATAATCACCTTCTTCACCCCGTTCACTCCTCACCTGTTCACCGTCTCTTTCTTGTTCACCTTATCCTTTCTTCATTTGTCATTACACTGATCTCAGGTATTAGGTTTGTTTCTTGTTTGCTCAAAATTAAATTTCAGGAAACCATTTGTATTGACAGGTTACTTATATGTGTATATCAGATTGTTGCTGTTATTGCTGCAAGTGCTGTACATCTCATTTTGTAGTCTATGTATAATAAAGATGTCAATCGGTTACAGAACAAAAAGAAACACTTCAAAATGTACAAAATAAATGTATTTAAGCCTTTTTTCCTTGCGCTTTTCAAAAAAAAAAATTTTTTTTTCTTGCTTTTTCATTTTTATCATCAGTAATCAACGATATAAAGCAGTCAATCAGTCAGTAAATAACTGTTTTTTCTTTTCTTTTCCTCGTCTTCCAAAAAAACCTGGCCAAACGACGCATAACTTTCATTTTGCCATAACACAAACTGATTGTTTCAGCGCAAACTTTGAACAAGGATGCGTACAATATTTTCAATGCATTGTATAGCAGTTACAAATTTGACTACTTTAAATATTGTATTTATGTATATTTTACAAGCCAAAAGCTGTTTGATAAACCAAAAAGTTGTAAGGATTTTGGGGACGACCACAAACAAAAATACGCACTCTTAAGCACAGCACCTATATATATATATATATATATATATATATATATATATATAATATATATATATATATATATATATATATATATATATATAAACTATATATATATATATATATATATATATATATATATATATCCATTTATTTATTTGTATTTAAACGACAATTATCAAAAAGACGCGCAAAGACTGACCAACCTAAACAAATATTAAACAATTGGGCTTCTGTAACTTGCGTAGAGACTTAGTACTGGATTGTGGTTTGAGACATACAAACTATACAAGCTGATTCTTTATATATATA